ATTTATCATTTTATATATATTTTATCCTTCTTATTAAGTACTACTTATTTTTAATAAATTTTAGCATATACTCCCTCCGCTAATTTATATGAATCAGTTTAACTAGGTACGGAGTTTAAGAAAAAATGAAGACTTTTGAAATTTGTGGTCCTAAATAAGTCAAAGGGCCCTAGAGTATTTGTGTGGTTATAAAAGCTTCTTATTAAGGGTAGAATTGTAAGTTTAAGCTAAATTGTTTCCAAATTTAGAAAGGGGTCATTCTTTTTTGGACCGACCAAAAAAGAAATAGGTTCACATAAACTGGAACGGAGGGAGTAATAAATAAGAGTGATATAGCAAAATTATCATGTTATCAGAGGCGGAGCCAAAATTTGAAGCTTATGGGGTTCAAAATTTTAATCATTTTAAGTTACTGGGTTCTAAATTAATACAATAAATGCATATTTGTCTACTCCTTCGGGGTAGGAGTAAGGTCTGCGTACACACTACCATCCCAGACCCCACTTGTGGGATTTTAAGGGCTACCAAAGGGGTCGTTTGGTTTGAATACGGCTTATGCCGAGATAAGTTATGCTGGGATAAGTTATGCTGAGATTAGTTATGCTAGGATTATTTTTTATCCATTGTTTGGTATGTTGTATTAAAAATGACAATTGCATAATTTCTAAGAAGAAGATATAAGTTATCCCAGTGCTAATTTTCCCACCCTTTATACGGTATAAGTTATCCCGGTGTTAATTTTAATGTCGGGATAACTTATACCTGGTTTCCTAATCAAACAGCGTATTAAGGTGGTATTAAATTTTGGGAGAATTACATCCCTTGTCACTTGGCCCAACAACCCATCAGAAAATGGCCCATGTTTGAAGCTCTTACCTAGTGTAGCCCAGGTTGTACATAACCTGAAAATTACTTTTCACCAGTTAGCCCCTTTTTTCTTCGTTCCCCTCTTTTTTCTTCGTTCCAGTTACATCCCTTGTCATTCCCCTTTTTTCTTCGTTCCAGTTAGCCCACCCCTTATTTCTGTTCCCCTTTCTTCTTCATTCCCCTTTTTTCTTCATTCTTCGTCTCCTTCCCAAGTCAGTCTTTGCACCACAAAATTTCTCTACTATTGTTATTCTCCTTCAATTCTTTTCCGGATTCCATTGGTTAATTAAGGATTTGAAAAATAAAAGTCACCATTACAGGTGGTTCGAAGATTCGATTTCAGAAATTGAGTTTTTCGATTTGTTTGTTGTTTCGAATGGGTGTTGTCTCAATTGATTGGAATCATCAAGATGAGTTCAAAACGTAAATTTCAAGTGATTTGGAGTAGATTTAGGCTATATTTGAGTTAAATTTCAGAGGATGCCCAAGGAAGAAGAAGAACACGTGAAGCTCCATTGATAGGATTCATTTGTATAATAATGTATAATACTGTATAAATAGTATATAATACTGTATAAACACAACTTATACACTATTATATACAAGGTTGATACATTATTTACAGGTATTTGGTGAATTTCTCGCTTTTTCTTCTTCTTCTCATTCTTCTTATACACCTATATACATAGTATATCAAGAATATTTTTACTCTGTGATTATACATCTTTATACACTTTTATACAACTATATACATAATATATCTCTTTGTATAAAAGTTTACAATATCGTATAAAAGTGTATAAGCATCGCTGACGAAATTTTTATACGATTTTCACTTGCAATTCTAGTATAAAACTAGTCCAAATCTCCGGCAAATAGCTTCAAACTTTGTATACAACCTATTTAGACTATTTCTAATAAGTTCAAACAATACCTACTCCAAATTTCTCACAAAATCATAATCGAAATTTAACAAGATTAGCATTAAAGGAGATGAGATTTTAGGTTTCTTGCGCCTGTTTTTGCATTTTGCAGTTGTGATAGGTATGTATAAACCTGAAGATATACAAAATAAAAAAAAAATAATTCAGAGAAGTATTGGTTATGGAAGAAGGCACGAATGAGTATTGACTGAATGAGGAACTTATTTTTGTTTTTAGTTTTGTTTGCAGATGTTCTTTTTCATTAATTAAATTAAATATTTATGGGTGAAAAATGAGGAGAGAGCTAATGGGTAGGTAAGAATAAATGAGGTTGTTACAATTAGAGAGAATGGAAACAGAAAAGATCTTATTGATATTTGGCTATATATTTGCAAACTTAAAATAGTGCAAGGCCAACTTATGGAGTGCATTTATTCTGTAATTTTATCTTAAATTTTTATACCAACACTATACCTTCTTATATCTCATACCAAACGAGCCTAAGAGTACAAGTTCGACTCGTTGACAACACTGAACTCTAAAACAATAACACCACAGTGTGACACGTCCTAGTTGCGACGTTGTTCTATTGTAAGGTTAATTTTTATCAAAAATTTGAAAAGTTTCAAACGAAAAAGTTTTCATTTGCAAAAACTGTTTCTGGACCAAAACCAAAAAAAATGTAATGCAAATTGCAAAAATTGAAAGGATCGTTGAAAAAGTATTATACTATTTTGCAAAAACAAATTAACGAAAAAGTTTGCAAAACGAGTTTTTTTCACAAATTTTAAACAATGCCAAATAGTATAATTTATCTTGTTCTTCTGTGTCTGTCATTTTATGAAGGACATTAGGATGTACGTGAACAAACCATCAGCAAGAGAATACACTTTTTCTGGCTAAAGGACAGAGACAAATTCGGTGGCCCATTTCATATATGGGTTCATCATCCGATCCTAACAATAAAATACTATTTGTGGATATAATTAAATCACACAGATCACAACTATGGTTTAAAAGTCAAGGACAAGATAACAATAAAAAAACACAAGCAATAACGTCTAATGTATGAATAGTCGTTTGAATAAGTTGCCTCCTTACAAAGTAGGGGCAGTATTTACTAATGCCGGCAGGCGGGCAGGCAGAGTCGGCCCTATTTTAGGCAGATACACTAACATTTTAAATTTTATGGGTTCAACTTTTAAGATTATTAAATGTTGAACTTATTATATTTTTAAAATTATGAGTTTATATATATTATTTTTATAATTTTAGGCAGATACACTGACATTTTAAATTTTATGGATTCAACTTTTAAGATTATTAAATGTTGAACTTATTATATTTTTAAAATTATGAGTTTATATATATTATTTTTATAATTTTAGTGAATTTTTACACATTGAAAGTTATAGATTCAATTGAACTCGTCGTCAGAATACTACATCCGGCCTAGGTACAAGTACTAGTTGTCCTAAAATGCGACTCTTTCCAAAGTAATTTAATTCCAACCAAACACTAGTTAGGAACAAAGACAGAATTAGAATTTAAAGTTTATGGGTTTTGAATTCGCCGCCAAAATCATAACTTGTTTTAGCTATTGGGTTCATATTTAAATATTTATATATATTTAATAAATTTTTTAATACAAATATTGAGTGTAAGCAAAAGCTATTGAGTTCGTCAAACACGTAGTTAATGCTTTCCCTCCGCCCCTGGTTAGGAACGTCCTAGTTAATTAGGCTAGGTTTCTTCTTCAATCTTATTAGCACCAAGGGATGGGCGCCAAATTCTGTTAGGGCTAACTATCTAGAAAAATAAGAAAGTAAAATTGGCAAAATATCTTTAAGAAGGAGAAGACGACACCTAGGAACAGTGCATGATTATCCATTTTGCGGGTCGTCATATATTATAGTAATTATAATTATTATATAATACTAATATGCATTGGTTGGGGAAAACTTAGCTAGGATATTTTTTGTTCTAACCGATCTAACTTTGTTTTTGCTGTTGGAAAGGCAAACACCATTATTAGCCATAACAAATGTTAGGAATATTATATCTTACTAAATTTTTTTCTCACCTCTTCCTATTCAAGAGAAAATAGGAAAAAAGGAAGGGCAGAGGAGAAATTAGGATTTCAAGCTTATGGATTCGAAATTTTAGGTATTTTAAGTTATTGTGTTCTAAAAGTAAATTGTAAATGATCAATAAATGGTTCAAAACAAATATAGGCATTGAACTAAAGTTACTGAATTCTCCAAACTCGTAGACAGAACACTGGCTCCACCCCAGACTGTAGGGGACAACACCATTATTAGTCATATTTAATAAAATAAATGTTACTAGGACCCCGTGCGAGAGTTTAACAAGTTTCAGGGATCAACGCATTAGATATCAATACTGGTCAAATATGCTTAGTCGCTCGTGATTACGCGTGGCAAACAGGCAGATCAGATCGGATATAAGCGGGTCAAAACGAATAATTTTAAAAAATAGATAAATTATCTATCCGACCCGTATTTAAGACGGATAAAAACAGGTTTATCCGACGGATAATATGAATATCTATATTTCCATGACTTCTAAAATATGATCACTTATGAGAGAATTTCTAGTCTTCCAAACTTGAGGAACTCCAATTTTAGGCTTTACAAATATAAAAGTTAAATCATTAATTGTTCATTATCCAACCCATTTTGTGATGGATAATATGAGTGAATAAGTGCCACCTCTACTCATGATAAATAGAAAATATATGGCCCATTTTTCAGTAAAAGAGGACTAAAACCAGGATATAAAAATACAAGAAAAGAAGAAGAAGAAACTAAAGAAAAGAGAGAGAGAGAGTAACAAGCGAAATGTATGGAAAACAAAATGATGATTTTGAGTGCAGATAAGCTAATGAAATAGGAGTTCGTTTACCTTTTGGAATCACAAGCAGAGAAAAGACAATCTTGACTAAGAACAATTCCAGTTGAAAACAAAAACATAGTACTAAAGTAAAAAAGAAGAAGTGCAAGAATAATATCAGATACTGATAAAGAAAAGCTTTTATGCTCATAGTACAGTTTCAAAAGCAAGATTTTTATTAAATTAGAAGAGAATCAGATTAACTATAACCAATCAGAAGTAAAATTAAGCAGCAAACCCAATATTATTTAAATTATCTGTGACATTTTTCACTTTGTATATAAAGACAGAACATACCTTTTTTTCTCGCAGAGTTGGATTTTCTGTATCTATCTTTTCTTTGTTTCTTCAATGGCTTCTTTGCATCTGGACTTTTAAGCTTTGTGAGTGGCTGGAAAGAAGTATAGACTGAGATGTAGAAAAATGTGAAGTTATTAAGGACCTGTGTGTCTCATTATTTATAGATCAGGTCGTTAAAATAATAATCTATTTTTTTAATTATAAAATAATGTATTACTATACTATTGCTTTTGCTTCTTTTTCTCGGTTTAAAGTGCTTGATGACGATGGCTACCAATAGTGTTACAAGTTTGCCAAACACCTCTGTCCTAATTTGGCACCATTTAACTGGACAAGGAATTTTAGAAGTACATTCAAACCTCTCTCGTTTGTTCATGGCGGTCCGACGAATTTTGTGGCTTAAAGCCAAGTTTTATGACGGGTCTCAATTTTTTAATTTTCTTTAATTATTTATTTGAAGTCTATTTCTTTTAGTTTTTTTTAAATATAAAGTTATTAATAATTTTCTTAAAATCAATAACTCCTAATAAGTATTTCTCAATTGACAATATCGCTAATCAATCCATTTAAACTTTCCTGTGACATTGTTGTTCTTAGGTAAGATTTTATCGATTTTAATTTTGAAAACTTCTTTCAGCTGAGCAACTTAGGCATTTGGAAAAGGATTACATCTTTTTATTTGATTAAGTGTATCAATTAAATTGTTATTTTCTAATTGTATTATTTTTCTTAATACTTTTAATTCAGAAAATAAATCTAGACATCAATATCGAATTGATTATTACGCTTTAAGGAACATTCAAGATTAAGGCAATATATTTTTCAAATTTTCACATCTAGTGATCTTAGTTTTTACTGCCAAATAGAAAACCAAAAATATTTTCATATGTTTCGAATTGTTCAAATCTGTTTTGAAATGAAAGAATAGCCTTTTCTACTATGTATAAATGTAATCAACTCTGAAGGACTATTAGAAAGCTTTTGAGATTTCATTATCAACATGCGCATCAAATTGTTACTTCCTATATATCACACATTTCTTACGATAATTCGGGTTCGATATTCATTTCAAGTGCAATTTCCTTGGTAGAAATCATAGCAGTGGCAAATCCTTCTTCTCTATATTTGTTAAAGAAAGAAATCAAAGTTTTTCACTATACAGAACTCTTTTTTAAACTTATACATAGTCTATTAGGTGTAACAAAAAAATAGGGCCCCCCACAAATATGGGGCCTACAGCGATTGCTTTACTTGCTTTATGGAAGGGCCGCCCCTGCGTTTTTTCAGAATTTTTTTGATTGTTATATCAAAGCGTTATTATTGAGAATATATATTATAAAATAGCATACAAATTGATTCCATAAAAAACTTGACTTTTACAATAAATGTCTGTTATATAGCAACGTTGTTATAAAGTGGTCTAACTGTATATAAATATTTGGACCCACTAAACAGTACACCTTCCATTTCGGGGAGAACAAGGGACTTAAAGTAGTATGGATAATTTTCTCTCGGGAGACAAATATTAATTTGCTTAATGATAATTTAAATAAATAATTAGAATTTACTTAACACATATTATGGCTTTTTATAAATTAAAAATCTCTTTGTATATGGTTAAAATTGGGCACATCCGATTTTACTGATTTATCGAGACCAGTGTGAAGAATCAAATATCGATCTCGTAATAGATCGGATCGGGGCACGAGGACAAGGTACCGAGTTCGAGATTCGAGGTACCTGTTAAGATCGAGGCCGGTAGTGATTGAGACCAAATGAGACAGACATCGAGTAAGATCGAAGGTAGCATAATAACAAAAAGGCGAGATATCCGTGACTGGTCGGAGATCATGGCGGGAATCTCGGAACAGATCAAATCAAGGACGGTTAACTAGCTAATCATGGGATTTTCTTCTGTAATTAGAGTTATACCATAATTAGAATTCCTCTACTATATAAAGAGGAGTCCCAATCATTTGTAGGGTACTTACACTCTAAGATATCAAAGCAATATAACACTTTCTCTTTAATTTATACTCTTCTTCATCAGCTTGCTTATATTCTTAATTGTTCATAATCCAACCAGCTTGAGGGTATCCGAGCTCGAGGGCTGAATTCCATTCAAACACTAGTTTGTTTTATCTTATTGTTAATTTCTATTACTAATCCTTATATTTATCAATTGGTATTAGGTGAAATCACGTGTCCTTAAAATCACATTATAAGTTTAATTGTTATCCAATTTTAAGGGTAAACAGTTTGGCGCCCACCGTGGGGTTAAGGATAATAGTGATTGCCTGGTATTAATTCTCATACCACACACTGCTTTACGCTTGCTCTCGTAGGTGTCTTTGATTTAAGGGATCAACATGTCAAACTCTCAAGTAGAACCCACTCACACAGACAACGGCCTTGGTCTTCATGGCGACAACGAAAGCATAGTCGCCCCGGGAAACGGAGTACCTCCAGTCAACCCCGATGGACCACCGGCTGTAGACCCAGTCGATGTCAGCTCCCATATTGCCATTAATGGGAATTTGGGCGTCGATCCTGAAAATAGCATCTGCGGAGATGCCCGAGCAGCCGATCAGAACGCATAGAGCAGTGAAGAAGGCGGAATTAGCCTTCGGATGATATTCAAAATGTTACAGACTCAACAAGCAGCGATAGTGCAACTCCAAAATCAGAATCGTGCACCAAGCATAATTGAGCTTGAGACACACAAGAAGTTGTTCATAGAGCCAAACCTGTACTGGAGAAATCGAACGTCATTGAATCGGGGACTGACCTCGCCATTTTAAAGATGCTCGAGGAGCTCACTAAACGGATTGAATCAGGAGAAAAGAAAATCGAGGCAAATAATAAAAATGTAGAAACATACAACTTCGGGGTTGATCAAATACCAGGGGCGCCACTGATTCTAATGGGTTTGGATTCGAAGAAGTTCGTGTAGAAGCCTTTCCCTCCAAGTGCGGCTCCGAAGCCCATCCAGAAAAAATTCCGCATGCCAGAAATTCCCAAATACAATGGGACCACTGACCCTAATGAGCATGTTACTTCTTATACATGCGCAATAAAGGGGAATGACTTAGAAGATGATGAGATTGAATCCGTTCTATTGAAAAAGTTTGGAGAGACTTTATCAAAAGGAGCGATGATATGGTACCATAATCTGCCGCCCAATTCCATCGATTCCTTCGACATGTTTGCAAATTTATTCTTAAAGGCACACGCCAGAGCAATAAAGGTTGCGATTAGGAATTCGAACCTCTTCAAAGTGAGACAAAAGGACAACGAAATGCTAACGGAATTCGTATCTCGGTTCCAGATGGAAGGCATGGACCTACCCCCGGTCATAGGTGATTGGGTTGTTCAAGCTTTTACTCAAGGTTTGAACAAACAAAGTTCGATAGCATCTCGACAACTAAAGAAGAATTTAACTAAATATCCAGCTGTAACGTGGGACGATGTACATAATCGATACCAGTCGAAGATTAGGGTCGAGGATAATCAATTGGGAAGCCCTTCCAGTTCCGTGTACCCAAATAGGACCGTCGGCAGAATTCATAGGGACATCGATAGAGAACCCCGATAGAACAGAGATCGGTACCAACCATACAGCGCAGATCGTAGAAGCAGCAGCCTAAGACGTAAACCCGTTCCAAATGATCGAAGGAATGATCGAGGACATAGCTCCAGAGGGCTCATGAGTAAAAGTGGCTTCGATAAACATGTCGAGCCCACAAAAGCGCCGCGACTATCAAGAATATAACTTCAGTATCGATGCATCGGGTATTATACCAGCCATTGGACGGATCAAGGATACTAGATGGCCCAGGCCCCTACAGGCTGACCCAGCTCAAAAGAACCATAATCAAATATGCAAATACCATGGTACTCATGGTCACAAAACCGAAGATTGTAGACATCTGAGGGAGGAGGTAGCTCGTTTATTCAACGAGGGTCACCTTCGAGAATTCTTAAGTGGTCGAGCCAAGAACCACTTCAAAAGCAGAGATTCAAACAGACAAAATGAGCAAGAAGAGCTGCAGCATGTAATTCACATGATCGTTAGTGGGGTCGATATCCCTCAAGGACCGGTATTTAAATGCACCAAGGTAATAATCACGAGGGAGAAGTGAACTCGGGACTACTTGCCAGAAGAAACCTTGTCTTTTAACGACGAGGATGCAGAAGGGATCGAACAACCTCACAGCGACGCACTGGTAATATCTATCCTTATGAATAAAATTCAAGTTAAACGTGTGTTGATTGATCCAAGTAGCTCGGAAAATATTAATCGATCAAGGGCGTAGAGCAACTCGGCCTCCAAGATCAAATCGTGCCCGCAGCTCAGGTACTTAACGGCTTCAACATGGCAAGTGAAACCACCAAAGGGGAAATCATTTTGCTAGTAAATGTGGCCGGGACCATCCAAGAAACAAAATTCCATGTGATCGAAGGCGACATGAGGTACAACGCGTTGCTCGGGAGGCCTTGGATCCATAACATGAGGGCAGTACCCTCGACGCTTCATCAAGTCCTTAAGTTCCCAACATTAGAAGGAATCAAAAAGGTGTACGATGAACAACCCGCCTCCAAAGAAATGTTTGCAATCAATGAAGTAGTACCGGTATCGGCGCTTTCATTAACAAAGAGATCGGGGTCAAAAGGAAAGCAAGAAGTCAAATAGCAACCACAGTCACCAGCCTCGGCCCGATCGGAGGAGCAGGAAACTTTTGTGGATGATGATTATATGATACCTCGAACCTTCATAATCCCCGACGATTCTGATGCAACAAAGTCAAAGGTCGAAGAGCTGGAACAAATCATATTGATCGAGCATCTGCCCGATCGAACTACCTGGGCACGGGGTCAACCCCCGAGCTTAGGAAAAAAATCATTCAATTCCTTTTAGATAACATGGATTATTTTACTTGGTACCACCTAGATATGATAGGGATACCACCAGAGATCACTACGCGTATACTGAGCTTGGACCCGAAGTTCCGCCCGGTAAAGCAAAAGAGAAGGCCCCAGTCCGAGGTTAAACATGCCTTCATCAAGGACGAGGTAACCAAACTTCTCAAAGTAGGGTCCATTCAAGAGGTAAAATATCCCGAATGGCTAGCAAAC